GTGAGTATAAAAAGGGCCTAGTTCATAGAACTTTGAAAAATGGGCGAAATTCGCTCTACTGCTAATTCCCAGAAATTCGTATGTAACACACTTAATTTTATTCCAATCCGAATCAAAATTTAATTTTTCAATATTTCACGTTATGGGCTTCCAAATAAGTATAAACATGACCTAGTTTCAGCTAACGAGCTCTACTGCTTATTTTAGAAAAGCAGCTGTAACTCTCTTGGTTTTAGTCTAATTTTGATTGAATGAAAAACAAATCTGAAAATTAAAAAAAATCTAAAATGAGTTTTCAGAGGGCTATTACACATTCGACGAATTGGACAAAATCCGATTTATTTATGAACTTGTAAGTTTTTTTTTATCGTAATAACCCTACACTGAAGGGTAGGGTACATCTAGATAGATAGGCCTGCTGTCTGACTTGAATTATCTCAATTTCTGCGAAAGATATCAAAAAGTGGTCAACTGATAAAGAATTTATCAAAAAAATTTTTGGCCTAACAACAGCGAAAATTTTTTTTCAGAAGCTGCGGTCCTTGGATTCCACCATCATGGAGTTAATTTTTTTTCTTGATTTCCGAATAGCTTTTTCAAAAATAAATGTTCTGTATTCATGGTTTTTTGGGATATATGTCCGAATTTCAGAATTTTCAGATTTTCAGGTTGTGAATTTTTTTTTTGAAAATTCTCAATTTTTCGTGTCCCCCAACAGTCTCTCTCTCCTCTCCCTCCTTCAAAAAAAATCCAAAAATTCCACGAAAATCAAAAGATCAAAAAATCAATATTCCCCCGAAATCCAAGTATTTTCCAATCATTTTCATATTGTAAGCCGGTAGGGTGGATAAAAAATGGTGACAAATTCTCAAAACCAGCCAGTCCGTAAACTGGAGGAAAAATGTAGACGAACTGAAGGAAAATCTCAGTAAGTTTTTGAATTTCGCGCGCTCCGAAAATGCGCTCTATTGCCGACAGCCTGTAACTCGCTTAGTTGATGTCCAATCTAAACGAAAACTTGATTTTTCAATTTCCCACGTTTTGAGCTTCAACATGAGTATAAACACGACCTAGTTTCAAAACTTTGAAAATTTCGGCAAACGCGCTCTACTGCTAATTTCAAAAAACCGGTTGTAACTCCCTTAGTTTTCATCTAATCTCCTCAAAATTATGATTTTTGAGTTTTTCACGTTTTGCGCTTCAAAATGAGTATAAACATGACCTAGTTTCGAAAACTTTGAAAATTGAGCTTGCAAGCGTTGCAATCGCTACACACTGAGCTACCCCTCAATAATCTACAACTTTCAGATGTCGCAGAGGGGTTCCAAAACCTCGAGTCGTACCAGTGGTAGTGACATTGCCCTCAAAATTAGCAGCTCCATCTCCTGCTCCAACTCCATCGCCGTCCGCTTCTTCAACCCACCCGAACTACCGTAGTCCCAACAGGTTGCTGCTGTTCAAATGAATACGAACGAACCACGTGCACCGTCACCAAACGTNCGGGCATCGTGGAGGGAAAAGCCTTTCGGAGAAAGGGAAAGGTAAATCTAGTTTAGCAAGCGCGCCCTATTGAGAATCTATGGGGGTAATGGTTGGGAAAAATGGTCATAACTCGCTTCATTTTCACCCAAATTCGATGAAAGCTGCATTTTTGAATTTGTTACAATCAGTGCTTCAAAATGAATACAAAATTTCTATAATTTAGCTAACGTGCTCCATCGCTAATTTTCATAAATATTGCTATAACTCGGTTGGTTTTCACCCAAATTTGACGAAAGCTAACTTTTTGAAATTTTCATGTTTGAGGCTTAAAAATGAACGTGAAAAAATATATTTTAGAAAACGCGCTCTATCGCTGATTTTCGAAAAAATCACGGTGAGTTTTTCACTACCGCTGCATCAACTTTGGAATTTTTTTTCTCGAATTTTAGTCCATAACTTTTTTTCTGTTCCATAAATTTTTAGTAAATTTTATGAAGAATATATAGTAAAAAAAATGAATCAGATTTTTTTTTGTCCGTTGTACTTTAAAATGTCGCAGACTGTTTCGCATTCGGTAGTGAAAAACTTGCCGTGAAAAATGATCGTAACTCGGCTAGTTTTCACACAAATTGGACAAAATCTATATTTTTGAATTTGTTAGAATTAGGGGTTGAAAATGAGTATAAATATGCACTAGTTTTGCAAACGCGCTCTACTGCTAATTTTAGAAAAGCAGCCGTAACTCTCTTGGTTTTAGTTAATTTTTTGAAGGAAAAAGAGGGCGGAGCACCAGCAGTTGCGAAATCGACACTTCGTCAGAAGAAGCACTCGGTTTCAACCGAAGCAAAAACGCCGTCTGAAAATGATGGGCGATCTGGGTCGAAAAATGATAAAAAGAAGAAGAGCTCGACGTCATCGGATGCGGATAATAAGTCGGAGGGGTCCAAGGAGCCGTCGGAAAATGATGAAAAAACAAAGTCAATCAATAAGGATTTGGCCAAAAATTTCTTCAAACACATGCTAGAATCACAGAAGACTAAGAAGAGGTGTGATGATGCGGCGGGTTTCTGATTTTTTGAATTTTTGAATATTTCGAATTTCTGATTTTTTAAAATTTCAGAATTTCAGAATTTTCAAAAAAATTCTGAAATTTTGAATATTTGAATTTTCCGAATTTCAGAATTTCAGAATTTGAGAATTTTAGAATTTCAGAATTTCAGAATTTTCAAAAATTCCGAATTTTTGAATTTTCAGAATTTCAGAATTTCAGAATTTCAGAATTTCAGAATTTCATAAATTTCAGAATTTCAGAATTTCAGAATTTCAGAATTTTAGAATTTCAGAATTCCAGGATTTTTGGGTTTTTAAATTTCTGAATTCCAGAATTTCAGAATTTTTGAGTTTTGGAATTTCTGAATTTTTGTGAAATATGGAATTTTCTGAAATCTGAAACTTTTTAAAATTTTGATTTTTTGGTTTTTTGGATTTCTGAATTTCTGAATTTCTGAATTTCTGAAATTTTGTGAAATATGGAATTTTCTGAGATATGAAATTTTTAAAATTTTGGAATTTTTCAAAAATTTCTAAAAATGCTTCCAGCGCCTGGAAACAATGCCCGAATCGAGTCAAATCAATCGATCGACTCGTTCTTTTCGTAACAAAACCAAAAAAGTCCCAAAAATCGAACCCGAAACTGACATTTTCAAAGAAAACGGAGAACCTGTTTGGGTGGTTTCAAATGATAATCTAATGGAACTAAAAAGTATGGATGGCGTCCCGATTTCAAATCCAGTCCTTGCTCAAGCGATGGCAGAGGAGGACATCGAACTGGATGAGAAATCGTGGTTCGAGCAAATTGATCAGTATTTGGGATGTAACCTGCCAACGGGACCACGTTTGCCGGAAGGGTTAGTTTCTTTGAGCTACTGTAACTTCTTTCGTTCATGTTCTATCTTGACGAAAGTTTGATTTTTGAGTTTCTCGCATTTTCAGCTTCAAAATGAGTATAAACACGACCTAGTTACTAAAACTTTGAAAATCGAACGGCGCGGTCCCAAATTCGCTCTACCGCTAATTCCCCAAAATCAGTTGTAAGTTACATCTTGTAACTTCTTCATTGTTAGTGTAATTTCCAACAAAGTCACATTTTTGGATTTCTCATGTTTAGAGCTTCAAAATGAGTATAAACAAGACCTATTTTCTCAGATTCTCAAAATTGAGAAAATGCGCTCTATTGAGAATTAAACAAAATCAGTCGTAACTTCTTTAGTGTTAGTGTAATCTCCACCAAAGTCACATTTTTGAATTTCTCACGCTTAAAGCTTCAAAATAAATATAATCATGGCCTAGTTTCTAAAATTTTCAAAGTTGAGTAAATGCGCTCCATGGCGAATCTAGTAAATCGTTCATAACTTTGTTGGTTTTTATCCAATTTTTATGAAAGTTATATTTTTGAGTTTCTCACTTTTTGAGCTTCAAAATGAGTATAATCACGGCTTAACTTTGAAAAGTGAGCCAAATTCGCTCTACTACCAACTTCAGAAAACTAGCTTTAACTCGCGTGGTTTAAACCCAATCTTGGCGAAAATTAGATTTTTGAGTTTCTCACGTTTTGAGCTTCAAACTGAGTATAAACATGACCTAGTTTCAAAACTTTGAAAATTGAGTGAAATTCGCTCTATGGCTAATTCAGTAAAATCATCATAACTTTGTTGTTTTTTGTTCAATTTTTATGAAAGTTGTATTTTTGAGTTTCTTACGTTTTGAACTATAAAATAAGTATAAACAAGGCTAGTCACAGTGCTGGGTAGTCTTATTTTAAGCGCTAGTATCTCAAAAACTCCAACAGATAGAAAAATTGTGTCAACTACAAAAATGCTTAGCATACAATTTTACACATTTTGTTAGTTAACAACTTTTTGATAGCTTTAAAACAAAATGAGATAAAATGGAAAATTAAAAAAAAAACTCAAAATTTTTTCAGCTACCAATTCGACCCATTTGCACCGGAGGAAGCTTTGGAAGCCAACAACAAATATGTTGGGAAGGAGACAATTTCGTACAATTCGTGTCAGGCGATTATCGAACTCAGTGGTGGTAAGTGCGCTCTACTGCTAATTTTCAGAAAATCAGGCGTAACTTTCTTAGTTTTTGTTTAATCTCGACCAAAGTTAGATGTTTGAAATCCTTACATTTTGGGCTTCAAAATGAGTATAAATATGACCTAGTTTTGCTCTATTGCTGCAAATTTGCCCTATTGATAATTTCAGTAAACCGACTGTAACTCGCTTAGTTTTGATCCAATTTTAACCAATTTTTCAATTTTTCAACTAATTCGTTCTTATTTCCAGACGCCATCAAACGTTTCTCACAAAAACGTGACGGAATGGAGGAACGGCGACCACAGCAAGCTCCGCCCACAACCACTACCACAGACACTACAGTGCCCCTGCCACCAACACAGAATATTTCTCAGGAGTTGTTCCAAGTGCAAGCAGTCCAATCGACAATCAATTTTAATATGAAGGGTGTCTTCCGTGTTTTCTATGATGTAGGTCGTTTTTATGGCCAAAAATTCGGGGGGGGGGGGTACAATGATTCGGGGGTGAAAACTACCAATGATTCTGGGGTACAACCCATTTCAAACAGGGGTACAACGCTTGTGATTCGGGGGTACAATTTTTTTTGAGGGAGTTTCTGAATTCCTGAATTTCAGAGCTTGAAAATCTCTGAATTTTTACAATTTCAGAACTTTGGAACTTCAGTATTTCGGTAT